CAAATAGCTGAGACTACAGTGCCTGCCACAATGCCCAGCTAGCTCTCTTATTTTTAGTAGAGACTGGTCTCACTTTGCTCAGGCTCCTCTTGAACTCCTAAGCTCAGGAGATCCACCTGCCTTGGCCTCCCAGAATGCTAGGATTATAGGGTGAGCCACCACGCTGGCCCATAGTTGTCTTTCAATAATCGTGTTTCCTTTGTCCCTTCCTTTGAGCACACAGTTGCCCGGAATACAGACTACATTTTCCACACTACCTTCCAGCTATGGTGCCCTTGTCACTGAGTCCTGTCCAGTGGGATATACTCAGAGGTTGTTAGCAAATGTCTAACAACCAGTCCTGGGGGAAAAGGGGGAGAGTGTGAAGGAGGGAAGCCCTGATTTATAGTGTTGCCAGTTCTTATGGTATAAATACTTTTGCCGTGGCTAATTTCAAGCTTCTACTTTGATGGCACTGAATATGGAAGTGAATATGAAGAGTTGCAGCTCTCACAAGTTGCTACTAACTGGGTCTAGCACATCATTGGATGTAATGAAGTGTTCTATGTGATTTCTGGGACATGTCTTCACAGGAAGAGGCGTGTCCTAAAGGGTTGGGGTGTGCCCTTTGGCTGTTTCTCCTCACTGCCTTCAGGAATGCAGATGTGATTGGTGGAACTCCAATCTGTCCTACTGGACTATGAGGAGGGAGTTATGTTTTGAGGAATGGCAGAAACAGATGTGAGGAAAAGGAAAACTTTCATCAGATATTTTGAGTTTTCCCCTTCACAGTGAAATCTATACTAACTGAGGGCCTCATGCATGCTATATAAGATATCTGAAAAAAATTAGGACTTACATCTAGTAGAATCTTAAGGATTCAGATTTAAACAGTGTCGGGTCCCATCTGGAGTACCACTTGTCAAGGCCCATGGACACCATGTCTCCAGCCCCAACCCAGGGCCTTGTCGGAGCTGGGATGCTAGGTCTCTGGCCCTAGCCCATTCAACTGTCTGGACATGGGCCACTGTGCCACCTTACTCGAAGGTAGGTCTCATTGTGGCCTCCAGTGCTGAAGCACCTTAGAAGGCACAGTCAATATTAGTAGGAGTGAGCATCTCGGCAGCAATCTGAGCAACAGTCTGTCAGTCTTAGATTTGAGCAGCAGCTGCTCCTGAGGTTATTTATAGAAGTGATACACCACAGGTATGGAGATACTATGCAATAATATCAGTGTTCTCGTCACGCGCTCTCGTGCTCTTTAACAAGAGACCAATGATGTTAAAGGTATTAAATCCCTTCCCCAATCCCTTATTGCCAAGCTATTTCTCACAGGTGTCTCCCTCAAAACAGCAGTATCAACAGCAATAAAATGTCTGAAAACTTCTGGAAGGTTCAAGAGGATAAAAGGAAAACAAAAAGTAAGGAAAAGATCTGTGTTTGGCTGTTACACTCCAAAATATGTCAGGCATCTTCCAAAAGAATAAGCAAAGAGCAAGACCAGCAGCTATATCAGTATCAGTGACAAAGACAGAAAAGGGGGCAAAGGAACTTGCAAGAGGCTGGTCTCACCCCCTCCACCTCCACCCTCCCTCTCTGACCAATAGACGGAGAGGAAGCCAGCCTACTCCAGCAGGCCTCCCTCCTGGGACATGTGGAGCCGGCTTCAACTCCACAGGTTTAGGGAGGCTCTCCCACTAAAGAGATTTCCTTTCTTTCTTTTTTGTTTGTTGGAGACAGGGTCTGAGTATGTTGCCTAGGCTAGAGTGCTGTGGCACCACCATAGCTCATAGTAACCTCAAGTAATCCTCCTGCCTCAGCCACCAAGTAACTGGGACTACAGGTTTGTGCCACCAAGCCCAGCTAATGTTTCTATATTTTGTACAGATGGGGATCTTGTTCTGTTGCCCAAGTTTGTCTCAAACTCTTGGCCTCAAGTATCCTCCTGTCTCAGCCTCCCAAAACTCTGGAATTACAGGTGTGAGTCACCACGCCTGGCCTTAGGCATGTTTTTTTCTTTGTGCTGTATAACAGGCACTAGACAAACGTAGAATGATTTATTTAAAATATAGGTTAAATTCACACATGGACCCCTCCCAAAAGTTAAGTGCTATGCAAATAGAAGATAATAGTATAATAAATATATTCTTATCTAGCTTTAAAATACTCTTTCTGAAATCTCCAGGGAACAGGTTTGCTCAAGTGAAACAAGCAATTTAGCAATATTGACAGAACATCTGCAATGCCACAAAGCACGCACCACTGCAGTGGCTGTGGGCTTTTGCAGGAACAGCTGCCATTCACTCTGTATCTGAAGAGTCTCTGGCTATACGTTCCCTCCCATCACACTCCTCTGACTCTTGGCAACTTCAGAACAAGGAACTCTCGTGTAGTCAGCATGATTTTCAATCCATCCTCACCAACCACACCTCGCTTCTCTCCCGATACAGATAATGCCAAGAAATAGACATAGGTTGATGGTGGGGGTGCTCTTGATGACAGAGGAGGCAAGAGGCAGGGGACAGCAAGATGAAAGTAGCAAGAAGGGGAAGCAGGCTGGCTGAGGCACACACAAATGAACACCTGTGGAGAAGGGGTTATGAAAGCAGCTAAATTAAGCACAGCCTGGCTCTTCAGTAAAACTAGGCAAGATAAAACTTCTAGTCACATAACCTCAAGAATCCTCACAGTAGCTCGCATTCAGAGGGCCAAAAATCTTTATAAATATTTGCAGATCCTGGCTGCAAATACTTAAGGAATGGCCATTATCACTCTTTACCTAGGTATCCAGGCACTAGAGTTAGAACTATCTGGGTCCATGTTGTAGCTCTGGGTTTGCCAGCTGTCACAAATTGTATACACGTCCCCAACCTCACTCTCCCTACTTACAAAATCAGATAACACTGACACAAAGCATGTATGCCAGAAGTCTGCCCAGAAATACATTCTACAAATGAGAGCTATATAGAATTTTCGGTTGGAAACAAATACGATTGCTGTTGAGATGCACGAAACTGAAAATCAGTTTGGTTGACAGCATAGTCTCAAATTATAACAAACTGAAATGAACCAACACATATTACAAAATCCACACTTCACCAATCTAGGTCTCCAACAGAAAAAAATAAGATAAACTCAGACAAAATGTAACACTGCTTCTACAGCTCAATTCTGCAAACTCTGTTTCCACTTTCACACCTCTGTTCACTTCCCCCAACTTCCGGACCCCACAAGGAGCAAGCGAGGAAATTCTGCAATTTTCCTTTTAAATAGAGGCCTGACATCTGTGGACCACCCATATCATCACACTGGCCCACTGGCCCACTTCTAAAGTGTAGTTTAAAATTTTGTGAAGTCTACCTCTGTAAAATAAGCCTAACTGCCAAGAGGTATATCTTTGGCAATTTAACTTCTCTGGGGTTATCTTGCCAACAAAATTTTCGGAGAACTAAATTACCTTTAGAGTCAGAAAATATCTATCTTAGAAAGTTGTTGGCTTCCTTCAAAACATAATCCTGATTTTAGAAAGGAAGAGAGCTGCTTCCAACATCTAATATTCAACCTCCTTAAAATGAAACAGAAAAGCATCTTCAGGAGCAGTTGAGAGGATGTCTGAGAAAAGTTGGGACAGTCCAGGAAAGAAGGCTGTGAGTTGATTAACAGGGTGTGTACAAATCAATTCTTAAGTAGGACAACTTAGAAAAGGTGACTGTGGGTTAAAAATGTCCTGTCTTGGGACCAGCACTGGTCATCTTCAAGACTACAAACTTTTGAGTTAACCAGTTATGCGGCTTCTAAATTTTGGAGTTTGTTTACTTCAAGCATCAAAGAAAGAACAAGTAAAAGTTTTAGTTACATGCAAATATTATGAAATTTTCCTGTAAAAACATTTTACATTTCTTGGGATATATATTTTGAGCCCCCTTAGCTAAAGCTAAATGTCAAATGTAAACAAGGAAATAAACTCACTTGTCAAACTCATCAAAGAGATCACAACTCTGCAGTTTTGAAAGAGCAAGTCGAAAATATTCCGCTAGAAAACAAATGGAATATTATGAATAAAGGATAATCATGGCTTTTGGGGTACATAGTGAGCCACCTTGCTCCCTCCGCCCCCACAAACCCATTTCCAGCTGATATGGCCACATGTGATTTATTCTTGAAAAAGTAATGATAGTCTGTGAAAAAGTAATGATACTTCTATACTGCCTCAAAGAGTTGGAAATTTGTGTTTTAAAATTCAATTCCTTTCATCCTATCCCAAAGAAGCAATCAGCCAGCACTACTCAATAAGCAATTTAAAATGACAAATGCTCTAAGGACATTTTCTAAAACCCTACAACAAAAATAAGATGCTTAATCTAAAAACCATCATTAAAAAAAATCCAAAAATTAGCAATATTGGATGATTCTAAAACTGACATTAGAAGAGAAAATTAATAGTAAATTCCAGCCAATTGTAGGCCTGTCACCTCTTGGGTTTTTAAGGTCTCTCAAAAATCTAGAACTTAAAGCTATATAAGGCCAATCAGTTATCTATAAGAAGGGAAAGTGTTTCATCCTCAGAAAATGGACGAATTTCTCTAAAATTTAACAAAAATAAAACACTGATTCAATTAAAAGATTGCTTAAGGAGCTAAAACTTGGGGATGAAATGAAATAAAACTCACAGGTAAGAAAGTAAAATGCGGAGACAGGAAGTAAGTTAATGCTCAGGGTTGTCCAAAGCTAATTATAAATAGGAATGAGGTAAGGCACCAGAAATCACATGAACCACACGGTGTCAGAATGAACGTAAAAAGCAGTTTCTCAACAACTAAAGCAAATCTGCTTTTTTTATCCTTTGCTTCTACACTGCCTCAAACGGGTTGGAGATTTGTATGTTAAAAGTCAGTTCCCTTTTATCCCATCCCAAAACTATATCCCTTAAGGATCATTAGGAAGCAGAAATATTAACAGGCCTAAAAATCATATAAACATGCTGTTCTCCTCAAATACCACTCAAATTTAACAGGGCAGGGTAAAAATAATACTACTGACCTGATGTTCTTGTCCCATAGGGCAAATCATACTTATCGCTACCATACAAGGAAGCAATCTTTTTAAAGTCAGAAGCACACAAAAAAGGGTGGAACTGATGAAACCTGGATGGAAAGGATAGAGAATAATTTTGTCAAATTCTTATTATATTTGTAGACTTTAAAAATCACCACTGAAAATAGCCATAATATATCATTTATATTGTTATACTGACTATATGAAAATGTATTATTTTTACATTAAGAATAATTTTAAACAGTATTTGAATGTTATATAACATGGGATATAGGATGGACTTATACAACTGGACTGGAAACACTTTCCAAGCACTGGAACAAAAATTATGCTAGAGCTCAAGGGATGAAGACAAAATTTAAAACCCAACCAACACCAAGTGATAAAATGATGGCCACATAAAGGAAGAAACAAAGAAAGCAATAAAAGTACTGATGCTAAGCCATTTCTAAATTTAAAAGTACCCCATGTATGCAGTTGTATCAGCTATGGTGAAGAATTTGTCTGGGGTCACTGGTTCATAAATGCAAAAGCTGAAATCCACACGCAAGCCTAATTCTAAGAAACGGATGTCCTCTTTGTAATAGCTCTAGCTTCCAGAGCAAAGCTTCTCCAAATTGCTACTGGTTTTTCTGTATTTCTGAGAAAATATCCTCAAGCATATTTTAGGGTACTCCCCTCAGAGAATATTGTTAAATGACAAATGCAAACCTACTTGTCACTTCAACTACAGACTCATATACCCACTGAGCAATCTTACGTAAATATTTTAGCCCTTTTGAGTTTTTCCAGAAATGAAAAGATTTTTTTTTTACTAAACTTATAGAGCACTTTGATTATACAGTAGCATTTTAACCTGCAACCTACAATCTACATGTGGTTTATAAAGTCAATCTTGTGAGTCATGATCAGCATATTGTTAAAAAGTGAATAGCAATAAAGGTAAAAACTCTTTCCTTTTTTTCAGATTGTAAATACTTGTTTACACTAGGTCCCCAAGTTAAATGTGCTTTTCACTATGAGTCATGGTCAAAAAAAGTTCACAATTGCTCTTCTGGCTTTGCAGTGCTCCTAACGGAACACACACCCATTGACAGACTATAATCAGCATAACACACTTATAATCTACATTAAAAAGTTTATATATTGGGTGGCGCCTGTGGCTTAGTGAGTAAGGCGCTGGCCCCATATACCAAGGGTGATGGGTTTGAACCTGGCCCAGGTCAAACTGCAACAAAAAAATAGCCAGGTATTGTGTCAGGTACCTGTAGTCCACCACTCAGGAGGCTGAGACAAGAGAATCACCTAAGCCCAATAGTTGGAGATTGCTGTGAGCTGTGACGCCACAGCACTCTACTGAGGGCCATAAAGTGAGACTTTGTCTCTAAAAAAAAAAAATTATCTATTTACAGTTTTCCAGAGAGCTGATTGATGCTAAAGAGACTCCACTGGGTTAGGGACCAGTAATGGAAAGCTACAGTACTATGATAAAATAAAAAAGAAAATGTAAGTAATGCTTAATAGACAAAATGCTGACCAGGGTGCCTATTTCTATACCATTAAAGATGCCTAGAACAGTCTGTCATTTATTTCCCATAAGTTAGAAGTGTTTTGGCCAGCAATCTGTCCAAAGTTGAGGTGACAGAGGAAAAGAACATTTGTGGGTGGAAGAGTAACTTCTCTGCAAGTCCAGACCGCCACAGTGAACGATCAGCATTTTTTTTTTTTCGCAGTTTTTGGCCAGGGCTGGGTTTGAACCCGCACCTCCGGTATATGGGGCTCGTGCCCTACTCCTTTGAGACACAGGCACTGCCAACAATCAGCATTTTTATTCTATATAGATTCATCCTATGGTATTCTATGTAGTTCATTAAAAGTTAGTAAAGTCAGGGAAGATTTCTAATCATCAAGTTTAACCACAAAATAATAAGGGTGAAAAGTAACATGGCAACAATAAGTGGGAAGAACAAAACCCTGAACAGTTCACTCCAGTTCACTCTTTTATGATCAAATACAAATAGACCTCTCTAGCCTCACCTGTGTGAAAAGAATACTGGTTTGATTGAGTTCTTCAAAGCCTTTTCTTAAAATATATGCAGAGCTCTGACTAAAAGCACAAAAAGAGACAGGATATTCAAGCTCATCCTTAAATACGGGTGTCCACTTTATACTGCTAAGATTTGTATAAACAAGTATGACAAATGATTACAAACACATATTGAACATTTTGTACGCCATGGTTTTTTTTTTTTCTTTTTGTATATTTTTACCTCAGCAAAGAGACAAAAGCTGGCTTTGATAAACAAGGCTGGATCTTGTTTCTCCGTTTCATTTCCACAGGTGGTACCCTATGAGACAAAAATAGTGTCAGTTAGAAACGGAGCCGGGCAGCCTGCCCAAAGGGAAGCAACTGCCTGGGAACCCGCTAGTGCCACCACTGAGCGGCTTCTCAGGCAGCAAATAAAAGTCCTCCCCAAGGCCCCCCAGGTTTGACAGTACCTTCTCCAAGTCCTGCACACACTTGAGGGTGTGTAGACATGAGGTAAGAGAGAGTCGAAAAGGCTGTGATGATTAGCAACCAGAAGTAACTCAAGAGCAGTGATTCCAAGGACCTCAGAGAAGGGCAGAAGCCACAACCAGGCTCGCTTTCAGAAGCCCCAGAAAACCTGAGAAACCAAATTCATCCCAAGTGCACATGGCCATGGAGGTCCTCCATGCCACCCCTGGGAACATACACCAGTAGTAAGCACCATAGACACACCTGACCAGAGCAGGTTCCATAGACTCTTGATTCGTGAGCTCAGGGGCTCCACAAATGACACTATTTAGAGCTGTATCTAGCTCTCCTCCATTCTTGGCACAGGTTAGGCCCTTGTGTGTTTCCTGAATGGAGTACTTGTCTCCACAATTTAAAAGGGTATTGTGAAACATGACAGAGCACAGCGGGGCAAACAAATGAGGGGTGGGGACAGGCTCCAGACTTAGCCAGAAAAGAGGAAAACTGGGTAATACTAAAGAACTTACTACTGATCATCAATTCTGTAAAGATTTGTATAAAAAGGAAACTCATCACTGTTCTTCTATAAATAGCAGAACTCACACGGAAAGAAACAACCTAAACCCTTCAGAGACAGACACAATTTTCAATTTGAGGGGTACAAAAACCCCATAGTTAGAGCTGCTAGGTTTCTCAACCTTGAGGCTAGTAAAGACCTCATGTGGGAAAACCTCTTTTGTGAATACCATTAATGGCAATGATCCTTTGCTTTATAGCTAAGGAATACCCATAAAAATGGTAGGTAGACTAGCATGTCAGACCATAAAACCTGAATTATATTTGGAGAACAACATGAAGTATAAGATTGTTTGATATCTAAGGTCATAAACATAGAAAACAAACTATTTTAGGACATTATAAAGACAAACTTTGGGTGGCTTTTTTTTTTTTTTTTTTGGAGACAGAACCTCAAGCTGTCACCCTGGGTAGAGTGCCATAGCATCACAGCTCATAGCAACCTCCGATTCCTGGGTTTAAGCGATTCTCTTGCCTCAGCCTCCCAAGTAGCTGGAACTAGAGGTGCCTGCCACAACGCCCAGCTATTTTTGGTTGTAGTTGTCATTGTTGTTTGGCAGGCCCGGGCTGGATTCAAACCCACCAGCTCTGGTGTGTGTGGCTGGCGCCTTAGCCATTTGCGCTGCAGGTACCAAGCCAGGGCAGCTTTTTAAAATTATAATTAGTAGTCAAACAATTTTTATGAAAGCAAATTCATTGCACAAACATTCATCTGAGGTCATTCCCTATGATACCTGCTATGACAGGAGTAATGTGATAGCTTAGGTCACTGCTTAAAGCCAGATGACAAAAGACTGGCTGAATGTGGACCCTCTGCATGATCAGTTTTATTATTTTCCCTGTGACACATGATAGGATCTGTAGGAAAGTAGCAATCTGCTAAGTGTCCTGCTTTCCGCTTTCTCTTTGGTTTTTGTCTTCACCTACTGTGGGACAGAGAACGTGGCAAAGTGGAGGAACAGATCCCCGCAGTATTGTCCTCATTTAGTGCATAATCAGACTTCAAAATTCTCTAGCCTAATACTTAGATCCAAGGCCTAAAGCTTGAGAACCAAATCCAGCCTGCTGGCACTGGGCATTTTTCCAGTGACCATTTGGCTAACTTTCCTTTACAATCAACAAGTAATGAAATTAAAAGCAGAATCATCACCTTTTAAAATCTAATAAGCACAAGCTGGAAACATGATCTAAGATCTACTGCTGAAACACTGGCAAAATACTGATTCTTTGTGTAGGACAGGAAATTGTCATGTGAAACTATCCATTCAGAATTTAAAGGTCATCAAAATGTTTTTTTCTTAGTCCAAGGACTGGCAATGGGGAGAAGGTTAAAAAAGTTTATTATAGAGGCTTTCTTTGCAGCAAAACTATCTTTGCAGCAAAATTATCTTTGCTTCTTCTAAATTTTATGTGACATTTTAAGTCAATACTATTTCAAAAGATACATATACTACATATCATCATTCATCAGGTATTTTTCAACAAAAGAAACCAGGTGTAGTGTCTATATATTTTATCAACAATCTCTTGTCCATGTACTTTAAGTTCTAAAAGTCAAGTACCACTAAATCCGAGAAGCCCTCCATTAAGCTAAGCATAAGAACTATTCTATAAAGAACATTATGTCCCAAAGATTGTCAACACCACTGCTGTACTGCAGAGTCAATAAAAAGTAGGTTTTGCTTATCTGTTTTTAAATTATTAGAGATACAACTTTGTACTGTAGGATATTGGGATAGCAAAAACCCAATTTATAAAGGAAAGCTAGAAAATGTTACAGGTTTCTATCTTTTTTTTTGTTTAATATGGCCTTCTAATATCATTTGTGGGTTTGTGTAAAACATTAGTTTGAGAGTTAGTTTTAAATATCAAACAAAACCTACCAATAGACATTTGCTCCCCATAATATACAGTGCAGCACATAATAGAGGAAGACAGCACTCAGGAATATGGCCACAAGGTACCCTCTCATGGCTGGCCCACCTGAAAAACAAGGAGGCAAGTTCAGAGCAAAGGCAAAATCATTATGCGGATGGATTTTCACAACTCAAATGTAAGCATTAGTGAATAAACCTATGGAAAAGGAAAAACAGGGAAAAAAACATATAAGCCTTTAGTTTAAAAAATACTAACTGTGCTAAAAAGAGAATTTTATTTTCTGTCTCTCTTCTTATCAATCAGCACAACATGATGCATTTTAAACCAAAAAACAGTTTCATGGTTTCAAAGCTGGGGGCTTCCCTACCACTTTCTCATAGTAGGTAAGAAAGAAAACAGTTCCTTCAGAACCAAATTTTATACATCTATTCCATATCCCAAACTTGGTTCAGAAACATTAAGAAGTATCTTTCTTCCTCTCAATGGAAAGTAAATATATTCCTTAAAATGTAATTAAAGAATTTCATATCTTGGTGCTTGAAATGACTTCTAAATGTTATACGTTATAATTTTTACACATCCTTTTTCGACTTTGGAAAAACTGAGAAAAAGTGTGCTGAAAAATATTTCCCACATTCTCAATTCTGATTTGTCAACATCACAGCACAGGTACGATCGGATAATTACTTCTTGTATTAACCTGATAGTATTGTTTATTGTGCATTTGTAGACAGACAAAAACCTGAACCCGATCCTCTCTAGAATGCAAATGCAAAAAAAAAAAAGTCTGTATGGAACATATATTTTTAAACCTCTAAAACATGTTTGTTTAGTTTTCCTTTGCTTCAAAGGCAAAAATGGAAAGTTCCCACTTTCATATGTAATTAAATGCAAAAGACGAATTTAATATATACATCTTCTATTTCAAAGCATGTGACTTTAAACAGGTATATTATTTTCTGGTTCATCTAAACAACTGCAAGCACCACTCCTCTCACTCCTGTCCATACCTATTAACCTTAGTCGGGGGGATAAGTATAGAACATGCTCATCTGGTTGGATACAATTCCAAGTAATCTAACACTGCCTCCCTTTTAATGGTAAATAAGTCCAAATGGAAATCTTAAACCACTCTCTCGCCTTCATAAGTGGAATATACTAAACATAATTTAAGCTTTTCTTGATAGCATGGGGGAATTTTAACATATATCCTAACTGGGCTAGACTTTCTTAGAGTTGAGACCATTTGCAGCTCAGGAATCTCTGGGCTATTTGGTAAAGACCTAAACTGTAGTGATTATCTGGTTAAGTTTGCTTTTAGACTGCTGTCAGCTGTTGCTTCTCACTGCTATTAAGACAGTCACCATCCCCACATGCAACTACTGTAAATGATTTAGAAATGAAGACTATGTCAGGAGAAAGCAAATAAACAAGTTAAATGAACAACTTTTCATTTACATATATTTCTAATCCCTGTGAAGAGTCAACCCTGGTTAGAAATCAGAAGACATGATTCACAGCCCAAGTCCACATAAGGCTTTGGGAGCCTTAGGTAAATCAGTTTAGCTCTTCTGACCTGAATGTCCTCACATGTTTACAAGTGAGATCAAGATCCCTTTTGGGGTTGTTAGACTGTCCTAAAAGGCAATTTACCACAGGCCAAAATAATCACCAAACATCTTGCTTAAATGGTCAAATTAAACACTTAAGACTTCACTAAGAATAACATCATTTATGCAAGTATCCAACAAGGATACCACTTACCAATATCAGCAAATTTAAAAACATACATAGTATATTTACATCTAAGATAAGACAGTATATGAAGGTCTATAGAAAAAAATTCACTATTTACCATTCTATGTACTTATCTATCCCCCAAAATATACTCTTTGAGCTGCATACATATTGTTTCGCAGACTATGGAGGTGTGAGTTAACAAAATTTTTGTTATTGTTTTGTTCTTTTTCACTTAATATGTGATGTAGCTGAAAACAAAGAAGGGTTTTCCCTTCAGAAAGTAAACCAAACCCACTCTTGGAACGCCATTGCATATACCACTGAAAAACGAAGCTTATCAACTCTCTTCAATTGCACAGGCAGTTCAAAGATCCAATATGCAAGTTGCAAAGCAGACTGAGGCCAGACAGTGTATCACTGTGATAAACATGTATGGTTCCTCTCCTTGCTTGCAGGAAGAAGCTTCCATCACAAATAACCGAATTTTCTAATTATAATTCTATAAACGGAAGGATCATTTTGCTTCAAGCAAATGCATTCAAAGAAACATCAGTTAAAATTACATGTAGGGTACCTGTTTTTAAAAAGACATAAGGTCTGACTGGGTGTGGTAGCTCATGCCTGTAATCCTAGCCCTCTGTGAGGCTGAGATGGTTGGATTATCTGAGCTCATGAGTTTGAGACTAGCCTGAGCCAGAGCAAGACCTTGTCTCTAAAAATAGTGGGGCATTGTGATGGGCACCTATAGTCCCAGCTACTTGGGAGGCTGAGGCAGAGAATCGCCTAAGCCCATGAGTTTGAGGTTGCTGTGAGCTGTGACGCCATGCACTCTACTGAGGGCAACACAGTAAGACTCTGTCTCAAAAAAAAAAAAAAAAAAGAAAAGAAAAGAAAAAAAGAAAGCAAAGAAAAGAAAAAAGACATGAGGTCCTTCAATATAGCTTCAATTTACCAATACAAACATGTTTCAAGTTCTTGACATCAAACATGACTGATGGAAGATGCCTCTAAAATAAGAATCCTTTACAAAGTTCAAGTCACAAAACTATCTCAAGTACAGAAAGGTCAGTGAGGGAGAGAAGGACCAACAGCCGAGAACAAATGTTCGTTTCTTCTCATACTACGTACAAATACTCTACACATGCCAAACTAAGCTCAGTCTTGGTAACAGCATTTCCTTCTCTTTAATAATAAAAGTATATTTTATTGGGGTGGAGATCTAAAGTTTGTAAAACAAGTTTATATGTCCATCAATTCATTCAAGGTGCAAAATAAGCTTGTTAAATGAATGTACAAGTATTGTTCTCTTGATGAGTGAGGAAACTGAAGGTTTTTCTAAGGTTGAGTTTTCTCAGGCCACACAGTTCAAGGGAAACAGAAATAGATGATGGGTCTCACCACTTCCTTCTCAGAGTTCTTTTTCTGGTGTCATCCTGTCTTTCAAGATAAAAGGCATGAGGGGAACCCAAAAGAGAGAATTCTAATCTAAAACTTCTTCACAGTGTCTTTTGCTGTCTTGAGTCCTGGAAGGGTAAATTCAGACTTTGGTGAAGGGCAGGGGGCCTCTAGGGCAGGTTCAACACCAGTTGGGACTTGTTAACATGCACATTTCAGAGCCTCTACTTGATCTGAGTCTCTGGGGCTCAAGAATGTAAGTGTGCACAAATTTATTCGATTCCTATGCATACTAAATTTTGATAATCACTACTCTAGGGTGTGCAACAGAGCCAGGAGGGAAAAAAACAATTAGTGGATTTGCTGAAATACAAATACTATAACAAATGTGACAGCAATTATCCCAGTGAGAACAGGTCCTGTCTGTCTTCTCTATCTTATTTCTAATACTTCTAACAACCCCTGGCACATAGGAGATGCTAAATCAACAGCTGTTGAGTACAGTTTCAGATCTCACAACTAGATGCTCTGTATTAATTTTTTGACCCTAAATGCCTAGCACATGACACATGCTCAGGGGATAATGGCTGATAAGAATCATTAAGATGTCTGAGTGCTCTGCTCATAGGCCAAGTCACGTAACAAATGCTTTTGGTGTATGGTATATGTCATCCTGACAACCACTCTTGAAGGACAGAGTAAACTCACAATTTCCAGTTCCCTGATGAGGAAACAAACTCAGAGAAGTAGTAACTTTCCTGACCTGACAAATAGCAGAACCAGGTCTCAAACCTGAATCTATCGGGCCAGAGCTCATGCACAATATGACCTCCTCCAGATGTGAGGTTTCACAAATGAGCACAGGCCCACGCTTTCGATACACATGAAACATTACAAAGCATTTCTCCAATTTGTCAATCCCATCAGCTCCTTATGCAGGGTCAATTCTAAGAACTGTTGAAATGAAGACCAAGTTTATCGTCTTTTTGATTCAAACTCTGTTGAGGTAAAAGCCTATTACTCCCAACCCTGTTCTTCCCAATGCTGTTCCAGCCATACTAGTATTATTTATAAAAACAAACCCTATAGAAACATGTACATCCATTTAGCAAGCTTACTTTAGACCTTAAATGAATTGATGGACATATAACCTTTTATTACAAACTTTAGATCTCCAGATTATTTTTTTAGACTCTCCTAATGCTTTCTCAAACCAAAGGGAGCTTGCTTTTCCAATCAGCTAGGAAGAAAACATGTTCAGCAATAATTCTGGAAATACTATTCTACTCATGAGACACAAAAACCCTATGGGCATCTCAGCCAATACTGTACAACACCAGTGAAGAAACCCCTGTGGTGTTCTCTTTTCCAGATGCTGAACACACAGAAACACCACATGTCTGGCTTCTCTGTCCCCGTTGTCTTGAGTTGCAGGCTGTCTTGGCTGCAGGCTCAGCTACCCAAACACTAGGACTGATCCTGCCCCAAGGAAAGGGAGCCTCAGGGGTTCTCCAGGAGCAGCTCACCCATTTGATCAGCCCCTATGTATCCCATGGTTACCTCGGACATTTCATGCACTGGACCTGAGTCCTTGCTGCTGGGCCCTTAAATTATAACCTAGCTTTCTAATGTCTGCTGTCTTCTCTCTCCTAGCCACCCCAGCAACTCTGTAGCTAAACGTTTACCTTTTTTAGTCACTAAAAATATTCCCCACTGACTCTGTGGAGAGGCCTTTTGCTCCCTGCTTCCACAGTGACAAATGTCCTACTCTTTCAGCAACTATATCTCCTCTCACACTCAGCATGCTGCTGTCTAGTACTAATACCTAATAACTTGTACCTTTATGCAAATTAGAGAACACCTGCTCTGGGTCCACACAGCCTATAGGTGCCTAATGTCTAACATCTTAGCAGCAGCTAGACTTCAACATGACTTCCCCCTTAGCCAGGTGGCTTTGTGCATAGCTCACC